TCGAAAGTGTGAATGTCCACAATATGAAACCTTCACGAGAGTCCATATAAACGAGGTTCAACTGTTCCAGGCCTCTCCTGGAAACCATAATTTGAAAATAAAAAGTCAGCGTTTTCAGTTGAGCGTGTCTCAGTTTGGACACCCGGTGCTGGGTGTCTCTGGGACACGTGCTAACGCAGATAACATTTGTCTTGCAATCTAAACATACACAAGCCTAGAGTTCATAGGCCCGAACCAAATGTAGAGTTTTCTTTTGGGGAATTGTAGTAATTCCAAATGTTGTGAAAAACTTTCTCCGTGTACCAGTGAACAATAGGCATTGTCAGCTGGGGCCCAACAGCGGATGGGGTTGCCGCAGCACGTACGGAGAATTTGGTGGATCTTGGTCTCCCATCTGGAGAACACGGGATGCGGAAAAAAGATTACTGCATCTCGTGAACTAACAATTCAACATGTATCAAGTCCCGCGACATAACAAGGAAATGCAATGTAGTGTTCGCATAAATACCTACCATTTCTTTTCTAAGGAGGGGCGGGGCTGTGCATTGTGACAATTGTTTTGTAACCAAATGAAAGTTAAGATTATCAACGTATTGTGAATGCAAATGAATACTTTGCCACTAGGAACCGATACACAGAGGTTAGTATCAACAAGTACCGTGCTGACAATATCAGAGTGGTCTTTGAACATACAATATACCCCAAAACTTTATTGTATATTTTTGAAAATATTACCCCGTGTAATTATTGATTTAAACTCTGTACTATAAGTGGGCGTGTTGCAAGTGACAAACCAATTAATTCTCGACTGGAAATGACGTAATCGGTTCCTGAAATAAACTGAGAAATAATATTTACTATATCCCCAAAATGAACTCTACTTGCGCTTATTCAGCACTCAAAAAATACTTCTAGACGCTTTTATTTATTTTTTCAAAAATAATTTGATTTAAAACTTTCAAAAGAAATGTCTCGCATTAAGCTTTTTTTATATTTAGTTAATGGTTCAATTACCCCGAAAATATATTTGTTCTTTCAAAAAATGCTTTCTATAAGATCTCACCGGAATGAAAAGAATAAATACCCTTTCGTATACCTATTTCATGGGGCATTTATTTTTTAACTGCAATTAATATCCATGCCGTTGATGAAAAATATATAGAAGACTTTTTCACAAAATATTAAGTTGTATACCAAGTGAAATCGACAAACAAGCTGTGACATTAGTCACGTGTTCCATGTCAACAAAGTACCCGGATGTGTCTGGGAGGCAAGACGTCGTGTGTGTTTGTTGGGGGAGAAGGAGTGGCGCCCGGGGGGTGGGGAGGCGTGGAAGGGATAGGGGAGGGGGCCCGGGGGTACCGTACAAGTGTACAGATCAGGTCCTCAGGGGTCAGAGGGCTTCCAAGGTTGATTTCCGACCCCCCGGGCCCCGAGTTGACCTTAGCTTTGGAGTCTATCTACCCCAGGGGTCTCCTTGTCGGCAGACATCAAAGGCCTGTTATCATTGTTTACAACGATGAGAAGAGTTCGGCTTATCGATTAACAGTGTTGGAAATGTTGTGTTAGTTTAGTATGTTGAATGAAAATATCACTTATCTCGAACATATAAACTATTCTAACGAACTACATAAATTGTTTCAAAAAGTAGATTCTTTTCGTTCGACACTCTATTCATGATTCGTCTACGACGTGAGACTTAAAAGCGCATCGTTTATCATAGATATGCTATTCTATATTACCCGTCTTGGCCGTCGAACCTGATTCAAATTAACTTGGGGCACGGGAACCCACACACCCAATTACCCACGCACCCAAACAGGCACACAACCACCCATACAGCCATTCACTCACGCACCTACTCACCCACTCACTCACTATCCACTCACCTACTCACCCACTCACTCACTATCCACTGACCTACTCACCCACTCACTCACTATCCACTGACCTACTCACCCACTCACTCACTATCCACTGACCTACTCACCTACTCACTCACTATCCACTCACCCACTCACTCACTATCCACTGACCTACTCACCCACTCACTCACTATCCACTCACCTACTCACCCACTCACTATCCACTCACCTACTCACCCACTCACTCACTATCCACTCACCTACTCACCCACTCACTCACACACTATCCATTCACCCACTCACCAACTCACCCACTAACCCACCCACTTACTCACCCACTCACTCACTCATACACTATCCATTCACCCACTCACTCACTCACACACTATCCATTCACCCACTCATTCACTCACACACTCACTCATTCACCCACTGTGTATTGATTGTCCGCGCCACGTTGGAAACACTTAAATCCGCCACGCGTTAGTCCCCCGGCAGGTTACTGCTGGGAACGCCAACATGGGTAAAAAGTTCAATTAGTCGTTTATTATTCGTTAATACGGAAAATTGTTAATGTGAACTATTATAGCGGAAACGCAACAGTCTAACAGGGGTTTCAGAATATCCGGACAGCCTCCCAGTAGCCGGACCTAGAGCGGACAAACTACACACTAATTATAGAACGTTGGACAAACTGAACTGTCTTACTTTTGGAAGGGGGTGGGGGTGTTAGGGAGCGGATAACTTTTCGATCACTGCTTCAAAATACGTAAATACGTAATGAAAAAAGAAGTTGATCAATTCAATTCTATGACAACATAGGTTTTTGTTCAGAACATAAAGTATGTCGAGTAAATGACTTATTTTGGTCAAGGGTCACGAAATTTTGTACAGAAAGATTATTTCTATCCAGTGTGTCGTACTATTTTATGGAATCTTTAAGAACATTTTGCAGTCCGACTTGGGGAGGTGTGGGTGGGGTTGTGGGTGGGGTTGTGGTTGTTGGGTTGGTGTGTGTGTGTGTGTGTGTGTGTGTGTGTGTGTGTGTGTGTGTGTGTGTGTGTGTGTGGTGTGTGTGTGTTGTTATTTTGTTTTTGTTGTTTTTTTCTTCTTCTTGGGTTGGATTGTTTTGTTTTGTTGGGTTTGATGTTGTTATTTGTGTGTTTTTTTGGTTGTTGTTTTGTTGGGTTTTTTTTATTTTGTTTCTGTTTTTGTTTTTGTTTTGTTTGTGTGTTTGTTTGTTGTTGTTTGTTTGTTTGTTTGTTGTTGGTTTTTTCTTCTTCCTTTTTTTTTTGGGGGGGGGGGGGGGGGTTGAGGGGAGGTAGGGGGGTAGAAATCTTGAGGACAAATTATTTCTTTAACAACTCATATTACAATTCCACATTTGTCGAAACAAGAAACTTTCTCGAAATATGTTGACTATGAGAGTCTAAATTGTATTTCACAAATTGTATACGCCCATGTCAAATCATCCTCCATTACCTGGAGTATCTACATTCTGTGGTAGAAAATATCGAGACTCAAAATGAAGCCTTGGTGGGCAGTGTGTCCAGGGTACATAATACAACAGATATATTATACATTTGATAATCGAAGATATCAAATATACAACAGCTATTTCTCCCTACAAACCGTTATCATAATTTAATATCTGTCTTGCTTATCGTGTAACAATCCACAAATAAACATTTCCATATGCTAAAACCCCATAATAATAAAATATCCACGAGTCTGCTAATAGGTGATAAACTGTCACGGCACTTCTGTTTAGTGTAATCGAGGGGGGTCATAAATATATCATAATTTTGCGCCTTAAATTTTGTTAATTTGAAAAATATGTCAAATGGGCAGACGCAAGTAAGATTTATTTTCGAAAAGCGCTAAAACCAGAAATACGAAACTTCAAAAGTGGAAGTAGCTTTGTCCTTTTCATATAAAAGTGGCCGCCATTTTCTTCGGTTATACCTTGGGCGTTGAAAAATAGTTCCTTTGATTGATTTAAATGCACTATAATTAAAAGAATATGTTTGATAATGAATTGCAATGCTTGTAGCTGTTAAATTTATTTATGAATGACTGAAAGCAGCAAAATAAAGGCGCGAAGATGAAACAAACCCGGTTCTTCTAAATGATTTCCATGTGTAATCATACGCGCAGTACGAAATTCAAATAATCAGTGTGGACCACAGACAGTAAATACATAATATGTGATGTAAGGGGGAGTGAGAGTCGTGGAGGAATTCTCAGCAATGGAACTATATTTATTCATAATATATTAAAGGTCTTAACTTCAGTCGCTTGAGTCGCTATTTTTATATCATATTCTGATTATTAATTTCATAGGGTCCATATGTGTGACTGCTTTTGTCAGTGTTTCTGCCTCTCTATGACTTTCAGCATACAGTAAAACCCCGTTAACACGGACAGCAGCGTCGCCACTGAAATAACAAATAAATTGATGGCAGGGTTAACGAGTCACTGCTACCGAATAATGTCACTTTATATACATTTAAGGTAGGGTTCCGGTTTCACAGTTCCTCTTGTCTATCTGTGTTGTATATCTGCACTGTCTGTCTGTCCACCTGTCTCTCTGACTCTCTCTGTCATGTGTCTGTGCCGTATGTCTTTCTGTCAATCTGTCTCTCTGACTCTCTCTGTCATGTGTCTGTGCTGTATGTGTTTCTGTCCACCTGTCTCTCTGACTCCCTCTGTGATGTCTCTGTGCTGTATGTCTGTCCACCTGTCCCCCTGCCTCTCTCTGTGATGTCTCTGTGCTGTATGTCTGTCTGTCCACCTGTCTCTCTGCCTCCCTCTGTGATGTCTCTGTGCTGTATGTCTGTCTGTCCACCTGTCTCTCTGCCTCCCTCTGTGATGTCTCTGTGCTGTATGTCTGTCTGTCCACCTGTCTCTCTGACTCTCTCTGTCATGTGTCTGTGCTGTATGTGTTTCTGTCCATCTGTCTCTCTGACTCTCTCTGTCGTGTAGCAGTGCCGTATGTCTGCCAACCTCTCTCTCTGCCTCTCCACGTCGTGTAGCTGTGCTGTATGTCTGTCTGTCCACCTGTCTCTCTGTCTCCCTCTGTGATGTGTCTGTGCTGTATGTCTGTCTGTCCACCTGTCTCTCTGACTCTCTCTGTCATGTGTCTGTGCCGTATGTCTTTCTATCCACCTGTCTCTCTGCCTCCCTCTGTCGTGTAACTGTGCTGTATGTGTTTCTGTCCATCTGTCTCTCTGACTCTCTCCGGCATGTGGCTGTGCCGTATGTCTGTCTGTCCATCTGTCTCTCTGTCCCTCTCTGTCGTGTAGCTGTGCCGTATGTCTGTCTGTCCATCTGTCTCTCTGTCCCTCTCTGTCGTGTAGCTGTGCCGTATGTCTGTATGTCCCCCTGTCTCTCTGCCTCCCTCTGTCGTGTAGCTGTGCCGTATGTCTGTCTGTCCATCTGTCTCTCTGCCTCCCTCTGTCGTGTAGCTGTGCCGTATGTCTGTCTGTCCATCTGTCTCACTGACTCTCCCTGTCATGTGGCTGTGCCGTATGTCTTTCTATCCACCTGTCTCTCTGCCTCCCTCTGTCGTGTAACTGTGCTGTATGTGTTTCTGTCCATCTGTCTCTCTGACTCTCTCCGGCATGTGGCTGTGCCGTATGTCTGTCTGTCCATCTGTCTCACTCTGTCATGTGGCTGTGCCGTATGTCTGTCTGTCCATCTGTCTCTCTGACTCTCTCCGGCATGTGGCTGTGCCGTATGTCTGTCTGTCCATCTGTCTCACTCTGTCATGTGGCTGTGCCGTATGTCTGTCTGTCCATCTGTCTCACTGACTCTCTCTGTCATGTGACTGTGCCGTATGTCTGTCTGTCCATCTGTCTCACTGACACTCTCTGTCACGTGACTGTGCCCTATGTCTGTCTGTCCATCTGTCTCACTGACTCTCCCTGTCATTTGGCAGTGCCGTGTGTCTGTCTGTCCATCTGTCTCTCTGCCCCGTTCTGTCGTGTAGCTGTGCCGTATGTCTGTCTGTCAACCTGTCTCTCTGCCTCCCTATGGTGTGTTCAGTGGGTGAGTGAGTGTGTGAATATTCCAGCAGGGGGACACCAGAAATGGGCTTCACAAATTGTACCCATCTCGGGAATCGAACCCGGGTCTTCGGCGTGACGAGCGAACACTTTAACCACAAGGCTACCCGACGACCCGCCCGTGTTCAGAACGCATCCCTATCTCCGCCATCAGCATACTCAGATCCTAATTGGTTATTTTGCCCTAATTGCAACAAAACAATCTTCAAAGCAATTCTAGCTAAGTCATTCGAGGCCATGGTGCTTTATGAATACCATATTAAAGTTAAATGAGTGTTCCATTTATGTCATTGTGCTATCGAGTGAAGGATGTTTTAAAACAACTTGTATACGGTACACAAAGACACAAATCCCTGAAAGTTCCAACGTTGATCGAGAATGGGATTAAATCATATAAGTTTCTCGTCCTCAACACGCGCTGGAAGGATACAGAATGGAATTGAAGCGTTGATTGGGAATCAATACAGCCAGAAAACTGTTACGTGTTCATATCAAAGCGATCATCAAACGAGCCTGCTAAATCCATAGCAAAACGGGCATCTTTGAAATTTGAAAAAAGGCTTTTGAAATAAAATCAAATGTTTTACAATGAGGAGCAACAGGTACATGGAAAAGAGATAAATCACATTTTATCAAATTTCCTCTGAGTACATCTCAATCAAAGTTTCATTCTATAACGTGAAAGCTTCTTTTATCGTCAAAAGCTGGCCGTTTGGAATGGAAAATCGAATAATTTGTTTGAGAAAATCTATTGAATATTAGAAACACAGACATAAAAAGCCTCCAACCCATCTCTCCCGTGGAGAAACATGTGTCTTTATCGATTGGTCAGGACTTTCTCCATTGTCCAATCATCTTCACTCTCTTTGAGTACCCTCGAACCAGTTAGGATTCTGTGCAAAATGCGCCCTATCTCAGTCATTTACTGGTCGGGGAATGAAGCTCCGGAAAAATGTCACCACTCATGACGGTAATTAAGGGCTCTTACGACTTTCCGTCATTCGTCTTGCGCCTTCCGGTCGATGAAGGGCGACCGCTGCGCAGCGTGACTCACGGCTGGCGCATGCGCATTGACACCTCTGAGTGTCGGAGCTATAATTTATAAGTGACAGTCGGCGGAGCGTCCTGCGGTGAGAACAAATTGTGCCACTTAGCCTGTGAGAGCCGAACAACAGACACAGAAATGTCGTCGTGAAGTTTTGGGCCGGGGGTGACGCTGTAGCGCGAGACGTAGTCCGACAATAAAGCCCGACACTGTAGATTGTACATGTACGATATACAGATCACTGAATTGAAATTTAATCCAAAAATATTCGATTATCATAAAGGATAAGTTTTGTCTCGTTGTGACTTCGATTCCAAGTTTTTAATTTCCAGCTGGTGGCAATCTAAAGCTATTGAGGAGATTTTAACGCGGTGTCCTTGACCTTTAGGCACGTGTCTGACAATAAATACACCATGGGATATCATCGAAGGCGTGATATAAACGGGTGCATACAAAGGTTAGGGACCGACCATCTGACATTCGGGGGTCGGGGGTGGGTGTGGGGGAGATTTATGTTTAAGAAGATATTATGAAAAAATATTTTTGCCTCACTTTGTTCCAATTAGAACAATAATTCAGTTGAATCTGTTTAGAAGGATAATTTCAGGGTTTGATGTTAGGGTTAACTATAGATCGTGAGCGAGTCTAGAAACAAGATGGGTTGGGCTGGGCTGGGCTGGGCTGGGGAGGGGAGGGGATGCAGGTGGGGGTTGAGGGTGAAGGGGAGTACAGACTGCCGAGGAATATTTTGGCCAGGGAAGGATAGAAAACTATGGTCGCCATTCGCCACTTTTTTGTTAACTTCCAGTTCGCTCACGTCATATTATGTTACCATGGAAACAAAACAAAACAACCATACCCTTACATTTAATTAAGGCCTCAGTTCTGTGTATTTGATCTTTTCAGCAAATGTAAACAACAATATATAAGACGTCACCTTTTCATATAGGAAAAGTAAAGACTTCCAAGTTTTCCGAATTAGTGAAAAGAACTTACCTTAGACACGTCATGTTTTGCAACGTTGACGTAAACAGTTCCTGACAAGATGAAAATTGGCATTATTAAAGTTTGCTATCATAAGAACTTTATACTGGCGCTATTTGTTTTCATTTCTATTTCACACAAACGCACGCAGGTGACACAATAATTATACGGTTTTCCCCGCATGCATTTTAAACGCAAACTGTTTTCAATTATTAAGAATGAATCATTCAGTTATTTCAAAAATTATAAAAAACAGCTCCACACGAGAAGCGGGAAGAGCCCCTTTGAAGCGCTATGCCAGTCACTGAAGACTTCCACACTTCATATAAACTGTATCATGTCTAAGGAATATTGAGATAAAATCCAATGTCGACAATGATTTAAAGGAACAGAAAAGCAATCGCCAATCTAAATGAAAATGATAATCGAATATACATTTACAAATCTGAGAAACTACACCTTATAATAATAAAAATAACCATGGTACAAGTAATACATTATAGCATCACATGTGATCATAAGATAATACCACTACCGATGATAAAGGCCATACAGCTACTAATGACGACGATGATGTTGCTGATGGTGTTGGTGATGATGACGAAGGCGATGATGATTGTGTTGACGATGACGAGGATGGAGAGGATAAATATCATTAGAGTGTCAATGCCGACGACGACGATGATGATGATGATGATGGTATTGATGATGATGATTGTGTTCACGTTGATGAGGAGGAGGAAGAGGAAGATCATGGCAGTGTAAATGACGGTGATGAAGATGATGATGATAATGGCGTGAGGTGAAATGGGGTTGAACGTCGCGTTCAAGATTATTGCACTTACATAGCGACATGCATACACGTGTGTTAGGCTGCTTGGACTAATGCCGATTAATGGTGCTGAGATACCATGCCGCAGTTTAACATTAAAAACCCCACTCAGACACAGCATATGTACTGGGGGCGGTCGGGTAGCCTAGTGGTTAAAGCGTTAGCTCGTCACGCCGAAGACCCGGGTTCGATTCACGACATGGGTACAATGTGTGAAGCCCATTTCTGGTGTCCCCCGCCTTGATATTGCTGGAATATTGCTAAAAGCGGCGTACAACCTCACTCACTCACTCACTCACTTTATGTACTGACTCCGAGCCGAACAGTCCTTGTTTTAGCCCCTTAATGCCGAGCGCCAGACAGGGTAACAACAAGTACCATCGTTTAACGTCTTTTGGTATGACGCGGCCGGGGATCAAACCCCGGACCTTCCCGGGAAGACGCTCTACCACTCGACCACGGAGGCGGAGAATGAGGATGTTACATCAATATTTAGTTTTGGTGTGTACATTTAGCAGACTGAACATTTTGTAAAGAATTATAGTCTATATCATCGAGATTATCAGTTTTAAATTATCAATGAATTTATTTGAGCAGTTACTTTCGCCGCTGAGTATATATTAGTTATGACGGGGCCGAAATAGCTCTTATTATTCTCGCGAATAAAATTATTGTAATAAAAAAATAGAATCACGATTATCAGCCATGTAAGCAAGTTATGTATGAATTCCTAAGGTGAGTGAGTGACTTCAGTTTTATCCCGCATTGAGCTATATTTTAGTTTATCAAGGACCGTAGTGAATCAGGTCTCAGACGTTTACCACTTTGGTGAAACCTAGAAACATAATCAGGGCGAATCGGGATTCGAACCAACGATCATAGGTTTCTGGCACACCGAACTCTGCACAGCGAATTGCGGCGCCTTAGCCTACTGGGCCACCCGTACTTACACCTCGCTTGAATATAGGGGTGCACCATGGCCACAGCGGTCATGTAATATGCTTTCCATCTTATCAGCCTTCCCCTCGTCCCTCCATTTAACTGTCCCCGTGGGCCGCCATTAATCAGCCCGCCATGTTAATTGTAAAATAATTGGGGAGCTTGTCCGACTCGTAAACTCCATATCAGTCGTAACAGATACGAGTCTATGGGCAATAAAGTTTGAAAGCAGCCATCAAAACTTCCCGGCATGCTTTTCGTCACTCGGAAAAGGCTCGTTAACTTCCGAGAGCGCTCGTAAATTTCCGACATGTCGGTTCTCCTTTGATGATGGGAGTCGAGGTGTGGCGACTTATCTGCGTGATATGGAAGCCCTGTCCACACACTTAGTAAATTGGACGTCCTCGCTGTTGGGTTCGTGTCCACCTTCGCCGTAAAGATTTCAGGTTAGTCGGCTCTCATGTTATATCCTCGTGATATCTTTAGGATACGGAATGGGAGAGACTTGTAAGGAAGTGTTAATCGGATGTACACTGTCGAACCTTCGGGGAATTTATAAAATGGAGTCAGTATTTTTCAGTTAGAATTTGTTAGTTGGGTTGTGCGTTATTTAACACCAAACTCC